TTCCAGCAGAATGCATTTCGAACAACCCTCACCATAATGGATATAACTCTTAATGTATGGGTCCAAACATTATAAACGTTTATACAGGTATATGCAACACATAGATTAACAACTTTCATTCTTTAAGGTTTACCCAAAAATCACTCTAAAGTGCTCAAATAATTCACATAAAACTCAGGCGAGAATATAATCCTTAAAACATTGATTTTGCATATTTGATTTCTTTAATAATTAAGCCATTAATCTTAAGCACAATAACTTTAATTTAACATAAATCACATATTTAAAGAATTAATTTCTCATGATGAAATGAGAATTATACTTACTCTTAATATACATATATATAGAATTATTCTAATACACGTCGCGTTACGGATAAGGGTTTTTACAGGAGTTACAAAATAGGACCAAAAAGAAATATTTATTGATAAGATTTTTTCATATAATGTTTCAATTGATATCTTGAATGAAAATAAGGATCCCGAGCCTAAATTTATTGAAGAATATCGACATAAAGATAATTGGTGTAAATGAAAAGAGCAATCTAGACATAATTATGTTCTTTTATAAAAGAGTAGTTTTTTGAACCCATAGCTAAAACACCTAAAGATATTAAGCTAGTGCGATACAAATATGTATTTATATGAAAACAAAATAAGAAAGATGAGTTTATAAGATGCAAAGCAAATTTTTAACACAAAAGTTTTTGCAAAGAACTAACATTGACATGATGAGACATATTCTCTTATAATGGATGCAATTATATTTTATTATCTCATTAGCTTGAAAAAATATATGAAAAAAATTCATATGCATGCATTTAATAAATGTGATCACACTTTATTTGTTCATTTGAAATGATATCATTTGAAATGATATTTATTTGTTCATTTGAAATGATATCTATAAATGTGATCACACTTTATATTCTCGAGAAATAAATTTAATTAAATTATAGAGATCTCTATCGAATTATTTTAATATTATTTTTATTATTTTAGTTTTAGAAATTCAATTTATTCTATATTTTTTATATTTATTTTTTTTATTTTTCAATATCTACTCTTTATTATTAACCTATGTGCATGTGGTGTAATTATTTTAATAAACATTTATTGAAATAAGGTTAAAAAATAACCATATTTTCATGTATTTTTATAAAGAAATTTGAAAAAGGGTTTGTGATAGTTGCTATTTATGATGATGATCTAAATATTATTGGAACTTTTGAAGAGATTCGCTAAAAGGATAATTTGATATGGATGCATTGGGTAATAAAATTTTATCTCGACTCGCAATTCAAGCACTCGGAGAATGATATTTTTATTCATTTTATAGAAAAGTTCTACAATTATTCTAAATAAAGATCATCCATTGACTAGCACAATGGTAGTTCATTTACTTAATATCCAAAAAGATCATTTTCGACCTCGACAAGATAACAAAAAACTATTAGGTCTCGAAGTACCATACCTTAGTGCCACTAGTGTATTGATATATCTTACTAATAATACTTGACTTGATATAGTCTTTTCTATAAATTTATTAGCAAGTCATAGTTCTACTCTAATATGGAGATTATAATGGAATTAAACATTTTCTACGTTATCTTCAAGGAAAAATTGATATGATATTTATTACTTAAATGAGTCAAAGTTAGGTTTAATTGATTATATAGATGCGAGTTATTTATCCGATCCATACAAAAATTGATCACAAATAGATTATGTATTTACAATTGATGTTATAGCTATATCATAACGTTTAATGAAGTAAGTTATAGCTACTAAATATTCAAACTATGCAAAAATGCCAATTCATGAGGCAAGTCAAGAATGTATTTGGTTAAAATCAACGATCCATCATATCCGAGAGACATGCGGTTTATCTACCAACGAAGAAGTTTCAACAATATTATATGAAGATAATGTCGCTTGCAGATTCAATTAAATAAAGAATTCGATCAAGTGACAATTCAGTAAATTTCTTCAACCTACCATAACTTTTGAGAAGATAATTCACAAGTTTTAAATCTATCGTCTTAAATACCTTAAATGATGTTTTCAATAGGGGGAGACCAAAGGCTAACATTGAGATTAATGTCATAAGGAATATTGTACTCTTTTTTCTTCACTATGATTTTTTTCCATTGGGTTTTTTCTTAGTAAGGTTTTAAAAGGCATGTTCCTTGTACGATGGACATTCAAAGAGGATTGTTATAAAATGTTGAATGTTCATTTCATATTCTCCACTATTCATATGATTCAATTCACCATTCAATGTGAGAAATTAAAAGAGTGATGCAATTTATTCAATTATTTATGTATTTTTGAATGGTTCATAATTCTTTCAAATTCTTTTCCTAATCTTGAAGCTTATAAATAGGCTTGATTGTTTATTAGTTTATGTACAAGTATTTTGTAGAGATTGAGAGATTATTTGAAGTTGTCATCTCTTGTATTCACTTTATCTTATAGTGAATTCATTTGTCTATCATTTTTCTCTTCAATTCTCCTATTATTTTTATTTCTTTCATAATAATTTTTACCTTAACTTAATTTTTTAATACATATTTATTTCTTTTATGAAGTAAATATTAACAATTACTCTAAGAATAATATAAAATTTCTTGTGGGTCTATCGAATGCTAAGGACGAGTAATTATATATTTTTATTGGTTGATGGGTTCCTATGGCAAAAAAAAAAAAAAAGACAATTAATTTTTTTTTCTTACTGGAAATTTTTTTTCTCATCAATGAATAAATATATTAATAAACCTTCCTAATATATATCTTATGTCCATAACAATTCATATAGACATAATTTAGTAGTAGAAAGCATCATTCAATTTGAACATAAAACCATTTTGATTTTTTTTACCTCTCACTCGGATCAAAAGTAATAAGGTTTAACTTTTATATATTATTATAAATATAACTAAATATTCATTCACTATTTGAAATACTATTCACCCACGCTTATTTCACTATTCACACACTCAAAAGCACTATTCCTTTCACTATGCAATGATATTTTTGTAGTTTTCAAATATTTTTAATACATTTATAATGAAAAATTTCTTAACATTGGACTTTGGTCCCTCTTTTTTAAATATGATTTTTTTCAATCTATAAAATATTTTTTGTTTGGTTTCGATCATTCTTTTTTGTTTCATTTTTGTCACTTTGGTCCTTTTTTTCTCTCGATTTTTTTAATAAAACATTTTAAGGCAAAAAAATGTTTAAAAAAAATTACAAAATAAATTTTTAGCTAAGAATCCATTGGTTTTAACATTCTTTATACTATTAAATAATTTTTTATAAAAAATTTATGAAAAATATAAAGAGTACTTAGTTAAATACAAAATTTGATGTGTTTTAGTAGACGCACAATATAACTCTGAGATATCAAAATGAAATAATTTTTAAAAATAATCTTATGTATTTTATCCGACCCAAAGCATAACGCATGTAAAAAATTGAGTAAATAAAACTAAAATAAAATTATTAATTTTACTATTCATTTACTATTTGAAATAATATTCATCTACACTCATTTCACTATTCACACAAATTTAAAAGCACTATTCTTTGCACTATGCAATGACATTTTTGTAGTTTTAAAATATTTTTAATACATTTATAATGAAAGTTTTCTTAACGTTGCACTTTGGTTCCTCTTTTTTAAATATGGTTTTTTTCAATTCATAATATTTTTTGTTTAGTTTTGGTCCTTCTATTTTGTTTCATTTTTGTCACTTTGATCCTTTTTTCTCTAATTTTTTTAATCAAAAATTTTGGGGCAAAAAAATATTTTAAAAAAATTACAAAATTAAATTTTTAGCTAAGAATCTATTGGTTTTAACATTCTTCATACTATTAAATAATTTTTTATAAAAAATTTATGAAAAATATAAAGAATAATCGAGTCAAATATAAAATTTGATGTATTTTGATAAACGCACAATATAACATAAGATATCAAAATGAAATAATGTTTAAAAATAATTTTATGTATTTTGTCTAACCTCGTAGCGTAACGTGTGTAAAAAACGTAGTATATCTTCTATCATATAATGTCATGTATGTATAGTGTTCTTGCAACTTATCGATACATGATCTTGGAAGTTAGCATCCAATAGTCAATTCAAAATTTAGTTTAGTTGGAAGTTCATCATTTTTATCTAGTTTTATTTTTTAAAAAAATTTAATTACAAATTTAATTTATCAATTTTAGTTTGAAGGTTCATACACTTAGTCATGAGACACATTTCTATCATATGTAAATGGCCAGGAAAAAAAAAACAAAAAATGATGTTCATTGGTGGTTTGTTGTTCGGAAAAGAGGGGATGGAATATGGTTGCTAAAATGGATTTTGCCTTCGGGATTTTTTTAGGTGGATTGAGTGGCGGTCGATGAGGGTTTTAATGGTGATTTTCGACATTGGTGGGAGAGGAAGGCGTGGTCAATAGTGCTAGTGGATGGGATGTTGGCAGCGACAGAAGGTTTAGGAAGATGGTTGATGTGCAGCGGGATGGTGGATTTCAAGTTTGTTCAGTGATGGTCAACGTTAGAGAAAAAAGAGAATGGATGTAATATGGTGGCTAAAGTGGATTTTATCTTTGGGAGCTCTTTTAGGTGGATTGATTGGTGATAGATGAGGGTTTTAATGGTGGTTTTCAAAATTGGTGGGAGAGGATGACGTGGTCAATAATGTCAGTGGATGGGATCTTGGCAGCGACAAAAGGTTTAGAGAGGTTGTATCGAAGAGGTATAGCAGGACGGTGGATTTCAAATCTGTTCAATGGTGGTTAGCATCAAAGAAAAAAGTGAGTTGTGGTTGCAGATGTCAGCCGACAAATATGGTGAACGATGGGTTTATTTTGGAGAAGGGAAATGGGCTACCAAACTAGAGAGACAACACAACTAGAGGGGATGACAAGAGTGTGATAAGAGAAGGTTGATAGGTACCGGTGTGGCTGGGGGAGGAGACAATCAACATGATAGTAGGGAGGCTGAATGATGGTGAATGGTGGTCGGCATGCCACTCTTATTCTCCTCTCTCTCTCTTTCTTTTCCACTTCATTTACATGTGGGAGCCACGTGACATACAGTCATGTTATTGCAACGTGTCAAGTGGATCCCATTAACATACCATATTGGTAAATAACTGAAAACATTGACAGAAATCTAACGAAAATACTTGATTAAAAAAAATTATAATTTGAATTACTCAAATAATTATTATTAAAGAAGACATGTTTGATCATAAAAAATTCACAACTTGGTAAATTAAAAATGTGATTAACTCTTTAAAAAAATATATCATTTTTCGTACTTATTTAAGTGAAAGTTAACATATCTTTAAGTAGAATCAAGTCCTTTACCATTTAGACAACGAAAAAAATATAGAGGACCAAACAAACTTTTCATGTGTTAAGTTTTTTTTTAAGGTTTTTGAAAAAAATAATAAATTTACGGTTAATTGATTCATCTACCTTTTTATATATTAGGTATATTTTTTCACATCCCATCTTATATATATATATATATTATCTCCCGTGTGCTCTTATATATTCCTCTTTTTTCCCACATGTCCTTTTAGTTGCTTTTTAAAACTAAAATACCCTACAATCAGTTAAAAGAAAAATTAATTTTGAAAAGTCTAAAAAATAATAAATAATAATTTAAAATATTTTAAACACATGAAAACACCTAGAATAAAAAAAAACCATAAAACATACAAACATTAAAAAAGAAAAACTAGAAAAATATTTAAAAATATTTTTTAAAAAAATAATATGATCTTTTCAAATCTTAAAAAAGGAAAAATCATGTCTATAAAGTGTCCTAAATAGAAGTATGTGTATGACAATAAAATAAATTTTGTAGAACATGAGATTTTCAAAAGTTTTATTAGATACCAATGTTTTTTTTTTTAATTTGTTTAAAGGTTTTATCACTTTTTGGGATGTTTCGGGTTTTACTATTGTTTTCTAATTATTTTTTAACTTAATTTTTGTGAATTTTGAAAATCAAATTTTTTTTCAGCATTTTAGAAGCGTTTTATGTTAAAAAAAAAAAGTTAGAAAAAGAATATACGATAGAAGATATGTGAATATGCAAAGAGATAGAAGTGATTTTTTTTTTAAATGATATGTAAAAGAATAACCTCACATATAAAGGTTGATAAAGACATTGTGAGAAATCTACACCCAAGTAAACCGACAGGACGCAAGAAAATCAAGCCGAGAATTAAACAGAAAAGGATGAAAACGAGAGAAGGAAGAGTGATCGAAGCTCGAAGATATTCTCGCTTCTCTTGATTGATGCTTTTACTATTTTATTACCGTTACAAAATGAGAAAAGTGTACTTTGCTTTTATAGCTAAAGTAACCGACATCACTAATGGCTTTTAACAACCTAACAACTCAAGTCAACTGATTTAATGAGCTAATCTCTATTATCTAGTTATTTAGTAGTATACTATCTCGCCATCTCATGTATAATTTAACATCCCCTCTAAAGTTGGAGTTTGCAACGGATTGTAGACACCCAACTTGCCAAGAAAGAATCGAAGCCGGGTTTTGCCAAGTGCTTTGGTAAATAAGTCGACAACACCGCAAATGAGTGGAGACGAAATGAGGAGCAATCATCTCGAGTTGTAATTTTTCACGAACTAGATTACAATCAAGCTCAATGTGCTTGGTTCATTCGTGATAGACGGGGTTGGAGGCGATATGTAAGGCGACTCGATTATCACGAGGCTAAGGAAACAGGGGTTAAACCGTGCGCTCGTAAATCTACCAAGAAATTTAAAAGCCAAGTAAGCTCACAAGACACTAATGTCATAGCCTAATTTTCGGATTCAGCTAAGGACTTGGACACAATGTGTTGTTTCTTGGTTTTTCGGAAATAAGTACACCTCCTAATTAAACATAAAAACCTCGTAATGGACCTACGAGTCATAGGGCAAGTAGCCTAATCGGCATCACAAAAGTCGTCAACCTCGCGCCCAATGAGCCTTTGACATATTTCAACACTTTATGAGCCATTTGCAAATGAGGAGTGCGAGGATGGGACATAAATTGGCTAAGAATGTGGACTAGGTAGGCCGGATCAGCTCTAAAAATGGTGAGGTAGATTAACCTCCCGATCGACCGTCGATAGATGAAGGGGTCATCCAAGTGATCGCCATCGAATCATTAAGTTTGTGATTCGATATATGGGGATAGTACTCGGTTTGGCTCCCGAAAGACCAACATCGGCGATGATGTCCCGAGCATACTTGCGTTAGTTAATGTAAACTCCATCATTGGTACGAAGAACCTCAAGCCCCGTAAAGTAAGTTAAAGCTCCAAGGTCTTTAATTTTAAACTTTTAATCCAACAAATGCTTTAACCGATCAATGGCATGCTGGTTCGTACTAGTGAGTACCATATCATCAACGTAGACCAATAAAGCGAGTAAAATGATCCCCATCATGACGACCGAACAGAGAATGATCACATTAAGAATGGACAAAGCCTCGCTACCAACAAAGTGGAAGAAAACTTTGAAAACCATTGGCGAGAAGCTTGCTTGAGGCCATAGAGGGATTTCACTAATCGATAAACAAATTGAGTTCCAGACCCTTACACAATAAATCGAGGTAACTTCTTATAGACCTCCTCATTCAAATCTCCATGCAAAAATACATTGTTAACATCTAGCCGAGCTAAAATCCAGCCTTTAGTAGCGATAATGATCAAGAGAGTCTTGATCGTTGTCATTTTGACCACGGGAGCAAAGGTATCCTAATAATTAAGACCCTCGGCTTGTGTATAACCTTTAGTAACCAACCGTGCTTTGTATCGCTCCACCGAGCTATCGGCCTTATACTTTACCCTATACACCTATTTATAACCCATAGCCTACTTCCCAAGAGGTAATTCGAGTGATAAACCAAGTATAGTTATCTTCTAAAACCTTAATTTCCAATGCCGTTATAGCCTCTCTCCATTTCGGATGCCGATAGGCTTCGAATAAGAAATGGGTTCTTTGTGTGTTTCAATGTTAAGGGCACGGGAATGATAGACGGGAGGTGTTGAATACGGAGAAATAAAATTAGACATGGGATACATGCAGTTAGATGAGGAAAGACCATGTGTCTCAACATGTGGAGTAGTAGACAAATGAGATGAACAAATGTAATCTTTCCGCATGCCCTATGTCTTTTTGATTTTCGAGAGACAATGACGAGTGGAGGTAGAGGAGCGAAGTTATGATGGAGGAATCGGAATGAGGTAAAATGACCGGAATAAGAAGTATCGGATGAGGGGAGTGACTAACAAATTCGCTTAAGTCATATGGAAAAGGCATAGTAACGAGAGGAAGACTCGAGTGTGTTTGGAAAATGAGAAGACGGACTCGGTAAATTTAACATCACGATCGATAAAGATCTTATGAGTTGTTAAGTCACAAACTTTGTAACCTTTCCGACCATATGGATAGCCAATGAATGCATAAGGAATAACTCGAGGGCTGAATTTATCCCTATTATGGACGAGTGGTGGAGACACAACATAGACACCTAAAAATTCATAAGTGAGCATAGCTAGGTGGAGAATGAGTTCAAATGGTGATTTGTCATTGAGGACAATGAAATGAATTTTGTTAATAAGGTGAGTGGTCGTCAAAACACATTCCCCCTAAAACTTAATGGGTAAAGAAGCTTAAAAACATAAGGCTCGGCTACTTCAAGTACATGTCCGTGTTTTCTTTTAGGAATCTCATTCTGTTGTGGAGTATAAATACAACTACTTTGATGAATGACTCCATGACTAAGAAAGAAAGATTTCGAGGTGTGGCTAAGAAACTCGGTGCCATTGTCGGTTCTAACAATCTTAATGGTACTCGTGAAATTGGTTTTTTACAAGGTTAAAAAAGGACTGCAACAATGAATGAACCTCATTTTTGCAAACTATCGGATAAGTCCAAGTGTTTCTTATGTAATCATCCATGATTGTTAGAAATAATGAAAACCATGAAGTGTAGGAACCTTATACGGTCCTCAAACATCACAATGAACAAGATGAAAAGTTGAGGAAAAAGAAGTGTTACTCTTATTAAAGGGTAATTTGGATTGTTTAGCTAGTGGACAAACATTACAATGCATATGTTTTACATTATGTAAACCTGGAATAAGAGAAATAAGGTGTCTATGCTTATTGAACGAGGCATGACCTAGTCTTTGATACCACATAACGAAGCATCCGAAATAGTTGTGGCTTGACTTTAGACAATAGGAGTTAAAAGTGAACGGGTGGACTCAAATGATCGATTGACAATACTAAGACAATACAATCCATTCATTTATCTATCAATTTCCACAGCTATCATCCGCACATGGCCCCGCATATGACAAGCATTAGAATTGAATGTAATAATGTAATTTAAATATCTAATAAGCTTACTAACGGACAATAAGTTATGTTTAAAATTTAAAACAAACAAGACATTATGCGGTATGAGATAAGGATGTATAATGACAAATCTTAAGTATGTGATCGATGTTGTTGATCCATCAAGTAAATGCACGAAATGAGGATTTGAAAGTTTTGTTGGTGATTCTAAAATTGATAAACAATGAGTGATATCATCGGTGGCACCACTATTAACAATCTAATCATCTATTTTATGGAATACGAATAAGTAGTGGCTAATACCTGCTAAGCTTTGAACCGAGTTTTGGTTTGGGAGAGATTGGTTTTGTTGAATTAGATATTGAAGAAATTGATTCATTTGATCCGGAGTAAACCGATGGTTGGAATGAAGAGTAGCATTGGTATTGGTATCTTGAGATATTGGAGTGTAGTACTTGCATATCTACTATTCGAACCTTATGGAAACGAACCTTTGGATTGACTTGCGGACCTCGGATGTTCACCATATTCGGCATTATGAATTTGAGTTTTCGGTTGATTTTCCTAACTACTCATTGCATTCCTCTTCTTCAATTTGTAGCTAGGTGGACAACCATAAAGCTTGTAACGGTTTGCTCTTGCATGCCCCGATGTTTGACAATCTTACACCATAAATTTCTTCGGCATTGGAATTCCATACTCGATTTCCTTGTTATACATTATTCCCGGATAGGAGTGCTTGTTATTATATCCTCCATTGGCATGAACTCGTGAAACTCGTATTTGTTTCTCTTTTTATTGCACCATGGAATAAGCATCCTCCGGACATGGTAATGGTTTCATAAGTAGAATTTGGCCTCTAACGGGTTTAAAACCATCATTTAATCCCATCAAGAATTACATTAGTTTCGTTCATCTTTTTGTTCCTCCCATGCTTTTGTTGCTTCACGGTTGGCATTGCCTCTGCAGATCGAAATATGTGTCGTAACTTCCAATTCATCCCACAACTTCTTGAGTTTAGTATAATAACTCTCAATACTTAGATTTTCTTGACTACAAGAAGAAATTGCCTTTCGCAAGCCATAAACCATGGAACCGAGCATTAGTCAAAAACCTTCTTTGCAAATTCTCCCACATAACAACTGCAAGGTGCTCCCATGGAGTATAGATTTTCCGATTTCTTTGGAAACCACACTAAGTATCCAAGAAATCACCATGTTATTAACTTGTTCCCATCGTGTAAGATTTGGATCTCCTTCTCTAGATTTTGGAATGTCACCATTGACAAAACCTACCTTATTCTTGCAAGCGAGTGCAATTTTCGTAGATCTACGCCATGGAATATAATTTGCGACTCCAATCGAGGTCGGCTTACAAGCACCATTCTAGGTACATCCGAGCTTAACGGATGCGGAGGATTAGAAGCTATCACTCGGAAATGAATCACTATTCGCCATAATCGCAATCTTGAATCAACGATCGTTACGCTCTTATACAATGTAAGAAATCTACACCCAAGCAAACCAACGAAAGACGCAATAAAATCAAGCCGAGAATTAAACGAGAGAAGGATGAAAACGAGAGAAGGAAGAGTGACTCGAAGCTTGAAGATACTCGCTTCTCTTGATTGATGCTTTTACTCGTTTTGTTATCGTTACAAAATGACAAAAGTGTGCTCTGCTTTTATAGCTAAAGTAATTGACATCACTAACAGCTTTTAACAACCTAACAACTCAATTTAACCGATTTAATGAGCTAACCTCCACTATCTAGTTATTTACTAATATACCATCTCGCTAGCTCATGTATAATTTAACATACATTAATCCTAAACTTAATTATATCTTGGTGTGGAGTTAGTTAGCAACATTTAATTACAAAATGGAGTGTATCATTAATTAATTTGTCATTTTGTGTTCATATTGATAAAATTCAGTCGTGCCCATCCATATATATATTCCATTCTGCCAATTCTAGCTAATTTGTATTTTCTACCAATGAAGTAAAATGTTTAAAAGATATTTGCTTTGAAAAAAGTAACTCTAAGTAGTAATAAAATATAATATTACTCCACACCGAAAATTGAAGGGGAACATCGCTTTGTTTTGGTTTCTTGGAAAGGAAAAGATAGAAGTTTGTACCGGGACGGGACAGGACAGACAGGAAGAAAGAAAAGATGAAGCCAGCTAGCGTGCAGCAGGCAAAACAGCCTTGGTCAGTTGTTTTGTAAAACAATGTACGGTCAGCAAGCTCGGTAGAATATACGTTTATATACATATGTGTGTAAAAAATAATTTACACAAAAATTACCATCTACTTGGATCTGAGGTATTTTTTACACGCAATAAATAACAGGTTTAAATTTTAATCGAACAATTCTATTAAAAATTTTGGATGTTTATTAGATATATGAGTTATAATAATAATATTTTTAAATTAAAAATATTTTTATATCGAAGTTTTACTTTTAATTTCGTTTCAGATAGCACGATAAATCTTTTAATAATCAAAATTCGAGTCAGGTTTGATGATAGTACATAAATTTTTAATTTCATTTCAATTTAAAAACACTTTTTCCAGATTAAATTTATTGTCGCTATTAGTGTTAGTGCAATTCCACAACTTAATTAGCTGTACTTGAAATTACATTCCTATAACATTCGAAATTTGACGTTAAAACTTCAACTTCCTCTCCGTTATATATATATATATATATATATATATATATATATATATAGTTGTTTTACAAAATTTTCCTGTTAATTTCCTCTAAATCTGTTCTTTATATCAAGATATGATGACAGGGAGGAATTCAATAAAGTTTTCTTCTAATCTCAACCCTGACATCACAAGAAAACATAAACTGCATCCAAGTGGATCGACTTAAATGAAAAAGATTCTAATTAATTGATTAAGTAAATATTCTTAAATTCGAATTTTTATATATATATATATATATATAAATTAATAATTACCTTTGTCTTATACGTTTAACATAAAAATTAGTTTGAGTTTTTAAGATTAGGATGAAAAAGAAAAAGGCACAGCTGCAATGGAATTTAAAAAGAACAGCCGCTTTAGCAGGTGGTTCCTGGGATACAGAAAGAGTTGCAACGAACAGAACGCCAGCCATTAAGGTTTTTTTTTTTTTTTTTGTTTTCGGTCCAAATCATTCTTGAGCTGCATGATGTGTTTTTTGGTTTTCAGGTGACAAATGCAAGACTTGAATCCTGAAGACCGCATGATATAGATATATGAGTGGTCGCAACCCATGTGGATATCAAGGAACATAAATACTTCCTTTTTAAAAAAAACATTATCAATAAATATTCCCATTTTTAGGTGCAAATTCACTGCTGGCAACAGATCTTTTTCCTATCCAGCCAAACTCTTTTCAATGTATCTTTAAACAAGTTGCCTCATTACTACCACCTGCAAGGAACAGTACAAAATCTGATATGTCACCTTCCTTCAAGAATTAGTGAAAAAATTGAGTCCTCGCAATTATTTTCTCATGGTGCTAAGAAATTGGTAGAATTTGTAAGAAAATCATGTGTACATCCTCACATGTGTATTATCAATTGAATCTCAAAACGAAAGATTTTATAAATCGAGTCCAAAATGTTTCAGAAATTTCTCCATTGGATCCTTCTATCAATGTTTGCTAATATTTTACATGTAGTTTGCACATGTTTTTTTTGGATAAAGATTTGATGAAAAAATGAATAAAAATTGATAAAAGGATCTAATTGACAATGTCTGAAACGTTTGGGACATAATTGATAAATATTTTTGTTATGATAGTCAATTGAGAATTGGATTATAAATAATGAACTTATTTGGAGGCTTTTTGCCTTTCTGTTTCATGTACTCCCTATTGGTTGGTATTTCGGCCATTGATGCCGAACTGCTACTTTTTCGTATGCGGGCATCAACTGATAACGCAAATCAAACAAACTCCTACTTCCTTAGGAGATCAGCCAACCCCAACTTGTACTATGAAATCCGGCGTTGTCCTGGCCTTTTCTATTTATTTACACCAGGATATAATTGCATGCATTGGTTTCTTGTTCGGTGATGGATGTAGGATTAAATATCTATAAAAATCAAAATAAATTTTTATAAATTTATCATATATATATATATATATATATATATATATATATATAATCACTCAAAATAGAAATATTCATTCTTTCAAATCATGATAAAAATAAATAAATAAAATTCAATTCTTCATTAAAGTTTGAAATGACAATATTTTTTTTAAAAAAATACATTGATAGTATGTAACTTTTTCATCTACATATGATTGTGATTAAAATAATTGAAGATATTTTTTTAATAACTATAAATGAAAAAAGAACAATTATTTGTAAATTTTAATCCTACATTCCTATTGTTACAAGTCCTTTTTTTTTTTTTTTTTTTTTGCCTACAATTACAAGCACAACAACTGCACAAATTTTCATAATCAATAGTATAATTTTAATTCAAGTAGATAGATTATCAAAATTTTACTAACTCATGAATCCAATATTTCAATAGATACTTTAATCATATAAAATAAAATTAAAAAGACAACTGATCTAATATTTTAATTATAAAATATTATTTAAAAAAAATTGAGAGTTGTCAAGATTTAATCAATATATAAAATGAAAAATCTAATGAATTAATAATGTAAACAATATAAATTACTAATTGTTGAAGAAAATACTTACTATATTGTCGAGTAAGAAAAATTCAGATTAGAGAAAAGGTTTCTTTTTTATATTTTGAATAGAATAAGAGTTAAAGAAAAAAGAAGAATGAACAATTTTAGCAGTGGCTGGAAGCAGTTGAGATCAAATTAAGCAAATATTAAAGGTTTAGTAATGATTGAGTTTGTCCAGTGCTAACATAGGAAGGAAAAAAATAAGGGGTGGGGATGGCGGTGGCCGCGGCTGCTTTGAACATAAGGTGCGTCCGCTCTTGTTTCTTCTGTTTTGAAATTAAAGATTGAGTATTCAAATTAAAATTCTAAAGATGGTTAATATCTATCTGATTTTTCTTGAAGATATTATCTCAAAATGGTCATTGTATTCCTAAGGTAAGCGGGTCGATGCAACTACAGTAAACTTAATATGATTCCATGGAAAAAATTTGGATTAATCAATGGTGATTCGATATGATTCCCCTAACTTAGATCATTAAAACATAAAACATTAATTGCATTTATGCAAATAATACTCAATTATATTGTAAAATTCTATGATTGATTACAAATATTGACAAAAGAAGATAGGTCTGAAAAATGGGAGCAGAGTTGCTTCCGTATCAATTCAATGGGACACTACCTTGGAGCTAGGGCTTCACATGCTGCTGTTTTGCTCATTGGAACTTGAGATGCATCGACTATGGTTCGTTGGATTTTTTCAAAGAAACAAAATTCTTACAAACACAAACCACAACTTGATTCACGTCTTGTCCCCTTAGAAGGTCCTGCTTCTAGCTGCTCGAGCCAAAAATATACTTTGACTCATTGTATCCTATCTCCGGTTGTCCAAATCTACTACCGTCAGAAGGCAGTTTCAATTCTGAAGTCAGGATATTTATACTTGGAAGCAAGTAGTAGAAAAAAGAAAAAAACTTTTTAAGCAATACACGGAAAAGGGTTCATATGATTCATTGTATGCAAACATCAAAATAACGGAAGGATGACATATTAGAGTACGCGTAGATGAGCTACCTTCCAAACTCCAAAGGCTTCCGAAGAAGCCAATGGGTCTTGTGGCTCAACGATACCCATATGGCTAGTCCAAGACTCCAGGCAGAGCCAATTACCTCCATAAACACCTGTTAATTAATTCTACAACAGCTTTAGCCTTTAGCAACATTAATATAGAGATGTAATGCGGAGAAGTATATTTTTTCTCTTGGTATATACCTACAAAATCTACCAGCAGTAAATCATTCAAACCATCAGCAGTAAATCTACCAACATTGACAACAATGATTTTGCAACTGTTTGGTTCTATTAATAAAAGCTATCTAACATATCTAAAAAGGTTAGCTTGAGGAAAAGAAATTCTAATCATTTAAGTAGGTGGTCTCGGTTTTATGTTTTTGCGTATGTAAAAAACTCTTTAAGTAGTTATACATGTCTTATGCACTCGACCGATTAAACCAATTAGACTAGAAATAATATTTTTAAATTAGAATTTGATTAAATAACTCGTATACTAATTTAACTTTCATGTATAAATTAGACTAGAAATTATAATTACTAATTAGATTAAAAATCATATTTTTAAACTAGAATTTGACTAATTTTCTGTATACTAATTTAACTATGAATAATATTATTAAACAATATAAAAAGACTATGCACATAAATCATTTTATTTCTCTCCACACTATTTACTTTACAAGATCACATGTTTAAGTAGGAACTATATTATATAATTTGATTAAATTTTTATGTATTAATTACACAAGAAATTTGGAAGTTGACTAAGTTTCTATGTTGTAACTAAACTACAAATCTTTTAATGGCATGTTATGTAAATCAATTTGAATGGACTTGTGTATTCGAAGTAGATTATGAAACATGTTTATTTATAAATTAAAATGAAATATAGTCATAGTAAAATACAAACTTATAGAAAGTTGCATTCTACTACAACATTAGATTTTGTAAGATTTATCTTTCAGACTTTATGCTGATGCTTATTAAAATATTAAATCAATAATATATAACCTATAAAACAAAACAAAACAAAACAATAATATTTAATCAGACATGCTTAAGAGAGTATGAGAAGGATCAATAAAAGAGAAATAGGATTAAATCATTACTTTTATATTATCGTAAAAATATCATTAAAAAAATGAATAATTGGTTTTATAGTATTCTGAATTTTTGGTCAAGTAGAGTAAGATTTTAAACTTTTAATTTTTCCGATTTAGGTCCCAATTTTTTTTTTTTTGGTTGGCAATCAATTCATGCTTCTCTATTGACTAATCTAGAAAATGAAATGACTAAAAGACTCAAACTCAAATTAATCCAAGACCTTTTTTTTTTTTTTCTTTTCTCTCTTTTGGGTATTATATATTTTCATTTTTTTTTTCATGGAGTTTCTTTTTTTTTTTTTTTTCCCTCAGCCACTCATGGCAAACGGTGTTGGAGGAGGGAGGAGAAAGTCTGAAAGGTCGGCTTATAGTATTTTGAACTATAGACCGCGAGCAGCTTGGTCTATTTAAAGGATTGTAATTAACGGTTCACACAGTCTATTGGGCTGAAGCCCAGTATTCAAGCACAAAACCGACCGAACCCAAATACAGATAAAGCACGTAAGGTCGCGTTTGGCTTTACTCATATTCTTAACGCGGCAAAGCAACGCTACCTATTTGATTTTCAAAAATCCCTCCTGCCTATCATTCACGCAATCTCTCAAAGCTCTCCCTTGATTAGGGTTTCCAATTCTGTCGATCGCATTCAAAATCAAAGTTTCGGAGGCCAAAATTAACTCCGATGACGACCATGGCCGCTATTTCTTCTCCGTTTTTCCTGCTGGAGACTCCTCCGTCTCCACCGAGGATCCTCGCCGTATCCGTCGAACAAGGTTATCGCGTGATCCCTCGGAACCTACTTTCAGCTTTCAATAGTTCTAATTCTCCAAATTTCACTGTTCCATCAATAAAGATCGATGCTGCTTCTTCTCCATCTTTTCTGTTGGAGACTCCTCCGACTCCGCCGAGGATCGTTGCCGTTTCCGTTGAAGACGGTTATCGCGTGATACCTCAACACTTGATTTCCGCTTTCAATGATTCTGCTGCAGCTGTTTCTTCTTTTTCGGGGGAGTCATTTTCTCATAGAAGAAGGCGAAATTTTATTGAATGTGTTATCAGGAGATCGAAACTTCTTCTTGATAAACGGAGAGAGCGCGAGCGAAATCTCAAGCTCGACCACAAGAGGAAAATTCGCATTCTTATGTCCATGAGGTAAAAACAAAAAATTCTCACTTCTGCTTTTTTTTTTTTTTAATTACTTCATGCTTAAATTCATCTGTTCAATTGGTTGTTTGTTAAGCTTAAATTACCTAATTAATTAATTAGATAGTTAACGATGCTTGACAATCCAGGTTTGTACACATGTTTACAAATTGGAATAATTTTGTATTTGATATTTTTTATTTGCTTTTCTACACGCGTAAATTCACTTTTATTTTAATGTTTAACTGCAGTAATTAGAATGCTTGATTGAACTGCTTTAGATCCTGCATTGTTTCCTATTTGTGAACTGTACAAAGGTCGTTTTTACTTTCTGTAGACTTGAGCATGCCTGACCTTTTTGAATTAAAATGTTAGACTATGCTTGATTCGATATTGAATGGTTAAGTTTAGGAATGTCAGTGACTCATTAGATATTTGGGCCTCCCCAAAAATTGCATGCTTCTTCCTCAAAGAATCCCTCTCAGGTATCATTTGGAGAATGGTATAGGTGCTGCTGTGTGTGTAATGTTTCTCAGGTTTCTCTTTGGTCTTGGTCAATCAATGGGGGACGGCAAGCTGAGCGATGAAGGTGTCCAAGATTGTATAAGTGGTAAAAACACAAGACTGGTTGTTGGGACCTCATGACTACTGGGGCTTTTATTCAAATGGCATGCAAGAACTTATGATGCAAGTTCTCTGTCCTCTTCCAATGTGGCTGGATATTATTGATAAAACAGATTTGTAATTGCTCTATCCCAGGAGTCACTGGATCCTCCATCAAGTTAAAGTTTCCTTCTTTAACATGAAATATACATGTTCTTCTTATGATGCAAGTTCTCTGTCCTCTTCCACTAATGGATTTTGGATCAAAGGTTTGTTCAATGCAATTTAGGCATTTCTTAATTCTTACTGATCGTGGGCACTTAGGCAAGGCTTCAATCTTTGCTTGGAATCTAGTTTGCCAAAAGTGGAGCCTGATTGCAAGTTAGGCTCACCAATTGGTCTTGTTTCGAATGCGACCAACCATTGCCATTGATTAGTGACATCGTTGCTTAATAAGGACGATGAATGTAAGGTAGCTTATTACCATGTGAAATGTAATCGCAGATCATTTGGCAACAATGCGTTCTCCATAACTTGAGAGCTTGATAATTTGGATTTGCTATCTTTTTGGTTTGAGTGATTTGCTGGTAGACCCTGTAGGGGTGATTCATGTGAGGAGTTGAGAGTTTATGCTTCTTTATAGCATTTGCTAGGAGAAAAAAGAAATGCTGCCAGAGGCTATTTGAAAAAGTAACTGGAATGTGTGTCCGCGGAATTTTGGTAATTTGTTTGATATTTGAACCCCAAAAATTGCTTAATTTCCTGGAGATTTCCTCTTATACTTTGAATCCATTCTTGATAAAGTTTTGAAGTCATTTTAGAGATGGATACAGGTGGACAGTGCATTTTAAGGTTCTCTCTTTGGTGTGATCATTGGATGGAGAATGGCAAGCAGAACAATATGCTTACGGTATAGACCAAGACTTAAAGTGGCAGACAGAGTCTTGCTTAATAGCTGTTGCTGGGATCTCACAAAAGTTCAGCCTTCCATTTGAAATTCCAATGGCATCCAAGATCCCTATCTATGCAACTTTTCTTTCAAGGTGGCAAACCGTTCTTGATTGAGCAGATTCAGAATTGTGCTACTTCAGAGAATAACTTATCAAGTCAAACTTTCTTTCACTTGCACAAATTTGCATGTTCTTCCTTGTGCCAAAGAAATGCAATGGACATAGCAGCTCTAAATGCCTTAGAAGTTCAAAGATATTTCTGGAACATAGTACATTTGAACCCCACACATTGATAAAAAATTCATCAGAAGCTCATCTCGGTTGCCACTATACCAATAACTTGTTGATGTCAGTTTTATTATTTTTAGAATGTCATTTTGTGAAACATAATAAATTTGTGGGATTAATAACATGAAACTTAATTTCACTTTTTTGATTTTTTTTTTAATGTGGCCTTTTAATTTCTTTTGCATCACATGCTTTTATTTTTAATTTATTTTAATGACTTTTTTGGCTAACTTTTTATCAGAAGTGATGTGATAAAAAAACATCACTTGCCATGACATGTTAGATTAATTTATCTTGTGAAAAAATAAATAAATAAACAACAGTCAGAAAATTTTAGCTGAAACAACTAAAAAAATAAGTCTTAAAAATTCTCATCGAATAAATAATTTTCAACCCGTTTAAAGCAGCAGTACTCACCTATTGCTACAACTTGAATTAATTTAGACTGAGAATACAAGAGAGATAAAATGAGAAATAAAAACACATGAAATTATTTGGGTTTGCAATCTACAATAAGATGAGGCTGTGGGTTTTAATGGTGTGGTGCCATGGATGGCAGTGGATTTAGATTTTTTTTCTCTTATTTTTATCAATTATGCATCTTCTAAGGATCTAAAACCCATTTCAGATTCTGATTCCAAAATCCAAGAAAGTCTCTCTTTTCTTTCTTCAAATAGGTTTTTTTTATGGTTTTTTTTTATTTCTCATAAAATGATTTAATTTTTAGTTAGATTTTAATTTTTTTGAGCAAATCCAGATTTCATATTATTTGGATTTTTTGTTTCAGAGTTTAATTGAAGGGTTACATTCAAAGAATTGGACAAAAGTTTTGAGTCACTGAATAATGCCATTTTTTCTTCTTTCTTTGCAAGAGAATCGTTTTGTTTGACGAGCCCCTCTGCAACTTTTCTTGCTTCTTCTCACTTTTTGTAGGCACTTTCTGCTTTCTTTCTTTCTTTCTTTCTTTTTTTTTTTTCCGATTTTATCATAACCCAAAATTTGGGTTATATTTTTTTTTGTTATTTTTTTAGTATTTTTTACTAATTTTATTCCTTTTATTTTCATTTACTTTATTTTATTTTTCATGTTTATTTTGGTTAATTTTACAAGCTTTATGTTTAATTTAGGGTTTTATTATTATTAATATTATTATTATTTTGTGAAAAAAAAAACAAAAAAAAAAAGGAAAAAGAAAAATATAAACTACAAAAAAATAAAATAAAATTGCATGGTATGATTAATTAGGGGCATAATTGAAAGGGATAAGGACTGAAATTAGGAATGGCAATGAGAAGAGGTGGGAGGGATGGCCATCCCTATCCCCACCTTGCTCCCGAAAATTTTGCTCCGTCCTCGTCCTATGCCTCGTGTAGGGCAATATTTTTTGTATCATCCCTGCAAGGCACTAGTGTCTCGTTTAATTTTTCATTTTCGTTATGTTTCGTTCTATTTTACTATCAAATTTCAAACTATAACAAAAAAAATAATAGTTCATATAGAAAATAAACCTTAAGAGTCAATAGTCATAAATTTTATATAAGTTATAATTGTAATTTCGGAGATTGAGTCCGACAAACGGGACGAGGTGGACAAATATCATCCCTTTTCTATCCCGGTTCAAAATAAATACGGAGTGAGGGGCCCCATCCCGTTCCCTAGTCAACTCGGGGAATCCTTGTGTTGGGCGATGCGGGGCAAATTGTCATTCCTAATCGAAATTGAAAAAATGTCAAATTTAAAATTGAAAATCCATTAGGGATGAAATTGAATGAAATAGGACTAAAATTGAATGAAATTAGGACTGAAATTGAAAGTCAATAGGGGTGTAATTGAACTAGAAATTAGGGATACGATTGCTAAAAATTGAAATAGCCGAGGACCAAAATAAAATTGAGTGAATGATAGGACCAAAATTGAGCAAAAGACATGTCGTTCGCGCCAATCCGGAATCACTCCTCCTCACCTGTATTATTCATTGTCCTCTATCTAGGAAAACAAAAGGTGTCCGTACTAGTTAGGAATCGTGCTTCACATCACCGAGTGTGCCACCACTATAATCCACAAGCTCGCACACGTTGCATTTCTTTCCGCAAGTTCATTCTATGCACGAAGCCAAGAACACCGAAGCGTGTTCATTTGCTTTAGCAAACGAGGGTCCCGATCATTTGCAAAGGATCCAAGGGTGGAAATCCAATGTACTTGCGGCTATAAATTAAGCCCCATTGCGGGGTTTGAAGGGGGATTGAAAAATTATAGTTATGGGTTCTTTGGTTTTCTAAGCCTCGAGAACATGAGCAATTAGTGTTTTTATCATTCCATCGGGGTTACGGGACCTATCTAACCCATAATTACCTAAGATAATACACCACACAATCCTAGGCTACATAACCGATAACAAACCCAATTTGCCAATCATCATCATCAATCACTTGCAATCGAAGAAGTCAATACAACACAACGCCTGGTTTGTTTTTCGGATTCATTATAGTTTTGAGCATCATTCGAGTAACCCTCATCTCATTTTATATTAGTTACATTCGGTTATCTCCCATTTCGTTTTTGAAGTATCCAAAGGAAAAAATGGCGATGACAAACCTTGTTGCTTAACTTCTTGAACTCATCCAAAATAGAGTAATGAGAAAGGATTCTAGTTTGACAATTAATTTAGGGTTACTTGAGTCCCATTAAGATGATTTCCTTCCGGGAAGAAGGAAAATTTTTAGGCGCTTGGGGGTAACGAGACATCCTATCCGGGAAGAACAAGAAAGGGAGGAAGAATTGGCTTCGGTTTTCAAAAAAGTTTGGTTTTCATTCTTGGTATCGAGCTGGGCAAATAGAAGATGGATGGGCTAGGCTTCAGCCTAGCCGGTACGACTCGAGGAGAATGGACTAGGCTTAGCCCAACCCAAGTTCGAGAGTAAAGAAGCGAGGCTTGCCCAACGAGGCTTGGCCTAATGGGTCGAAAGCCTATTGGGCCTAGAGGCTTAATAACCCCAATTTTTGTTAGTTTTCATTTTTAGCTATTTTCCCGAGTAAATTAAATCTGAAATTTCATACATTCATTTTATTTTCATGCATAGTCTAAATTTAATTGTTTTGGAATTTTTTGAACGCTTTTTGGCATATTTATTGCAATTTATTTAATTTAATGCTTAACCTTTAATTTTCTTTTGATATTTAACTTTTAGTTTAGTTTAATACTTAGTATATAATTAAATCTGAATTTTGGGATTAGATTTTAGACTCTTGTAAATATGTAGGGACTATTAATTTAATTTTAGATTTTATTTTAATATTAAATATGGCTTCAATAATCAATAGTTTAATTAGATAATTAAAAGGTGGATGAATCGTCGAGTCTCTTAATTTTTAGAGATTGATAACGATTCTCCACAAATCTTGAAAAAAAAAAATAAAATTAAAAGAAAAGTGATTAAAAAAGATATAAAAAAGAAGGAAAAAAAATACGAAATGTTAGGTGAAAATTAACAAGTCTTGTATCTAATATGAACTGATGTTAATCAATAATATTTTAGTAATTGGGTTGTTCTTCAACATACCGGTTATATCGATAATTAAACTGAATCCGATATTGAATTGATGAGACTCTTGATGATAAGGTCCGACGATTGATTTAACATGATGCCATAAACAAAAATTAAAAAGAAAATATTTGGCTTAGGAAATAAAACTTGGAATTTTGATTTAAGAATTATTTTGGCAAATAATAGATTTTTTTTATAAGATAAACTTTACGATTAAACTATATATGATACCTCTCTCGGGAAAAAGTGTTTTTAGGTG